TGCTTTTATAACGAGAACTGTTGGATCATCCAATCCTTTTACATTTTTTTTTTGCATAATCCATTGTTACGACAGTATAATCAAGACCAGTTTTTGATATATCTTGACCGTTGATTAGCCATGTTTTTTCTTGATCTATCATTTCAACTCTAGTATAAGAAAGAAATATACCGTTACCTTTAAATGATATGCTATCAGTGAGTACTCTAGCAAGTATTTTATCAGGAACAGCGAGTGAATATAAACGATTTTGATAGGGTAATGTACGTAAAATATCATATTCTGTTATTGTTCCTTTAAGTACATCATCGATACGAAAATTTCTCACTGATGCGAAACGATCGTCAAGTTCAACTGATGATGACAAACATGATACTGTTCGATTCGGATGAAAATCAGCCGCTTTGAAACCTTGAATAGTTAAATCAAACCAATAATTAATGACGTCAGCTGTTTTTTCGTCGTCTTGTACATTAGATGTGACGAGTGCTAAATTACTATAAACACGAAAGTAATTGAAATATTCAATAAAATTTCTGTCTTTTTATCACTTTTTTAGTATTCACTAATAAGAACAAATATAATAAAAAAGAACGGTTAGGCATTTTTGTTTTCATGTCTTTTTATTAATATGATTTAGAAAAACAATTACTTATATTGAAGATTTACCTAATGAAGTCTTTTAAAAAAAAGTTTTAGTATCTCCATGAATCCCATATTAATTTTAATCATGAAATACTTATTGAATATGTTTACGAGAATATTATTAATCGAAATAAAACTTCAATAGTCAAATACAATGACTAACAAACAATTTTTGAGACTAGTCATTATTAATTCATTATTTGATTGTTTACCGTCACTTGTTATCAATGGTATTCGTCGAACATAAACTTCACTTATTTCTTATACAATTAGCTTCGTTACTTCATTTCTACTTATTGAACATTTCTCTTGGTGACAATTTGGAATCTTTTGCTAGTATCTATTAATTAATATTTCTTTTACTTTTATTAAAATATAATTAACTATCTTATGTATCATGAAGAATGACTATTAAATTGCCATTTACTACAAATAGACATTTGAATTCTATTTTCTTGATGCTAATTATTTGTAGATATTGATTGTACAGTATATATTACATTCACACAAGTTGGAAAAATTAAATCATTTTTTCTGTGATAAATATAGAGTAAAACCTGTTGTTATCACACAAAACAAAACTTGTACACTTTAGTATCACTTATCATGTAAGTATATTTAGTTTTCGACATTCGTAGACTAGTGATAAAATTAAAGTTGAAAGTAAAGAGTAACTACAAACAAGAAAAAACGACAAAACATGGTCATGAGATATTTTTTGTTCTAGGAAAAATCTCTCGAAAATCAGTTTGAGTAAAAGAATAGTCCCAATGAAGAAAGCACTTAGACAGACGAAATCAAACCAATTTTGATCATATTTCTGGATCGTACTATCCAATAAAAATTTTCAGTAATTAAGATCGATTAAAATTTCAAAGTCCTATGGGCATAACCAACATTGATAATCCAATTATTGTGCAATAAAATACAAATTATAATCGATTATAATTTGGATTTCGCTTCACAACTGTAATAGTGAAAAATCTCATGTAAATAACTTCAGCTAAATTTCGATCGATTTTTTTATTATACTGGTGTACTGCTTTGTAAACGATAAGATAAAATACAATGAAATCGAGACCTTTCCAATGTAAATAATCAGATTTTTTCGTCTTTTCTGACATGGGCATTATCTGTTCTAATTCTCTACTACCTGCTAATCTATTTTAACTTCTTATTAATTATGAATTCATATTATTACTATTTAATTACTAATAATTAATACTTAATAGTTAATATTAATATTAGTGCAAAAACTCACCTCGAATTCGGATTCGCTATCTAGAATACTCCTTAGTCAAGTTTTTCAACAACTAGTAAATGCTATTGTTATAAGGATCTAGTCCATGCGGTTTTCTGAACGGCTTATGCATATTTACAGTCGTATAATCCTTTCTTTCAGAAAAGAGAATAGATTATTGGCAAATTCGTAATTCATCAAACTAGTTTTCCTTCTTCTATTACAGGCTTTAGCAATTGGATTTAAGTAAAAGATATATACAACAACCTTGTTTGCTAATTAACTCAATGGTTTTAGTTGTAACAATGTTAATTTAAGAAAAGCGAAATACAAAAATGAAAAACAGCAAGCAAATAGCAACAATGCAAATTATGTATTTTGTATTGATTTAATGAGATTAAAGTAGGAAGAGTGTGTTACTATTATGCTCAAACTTATTTTAAAACGAATGTTAGAGTAATTATGTCGATGATCTTTTGTTTAATTTCGATCAATTTACATCAAAGCCGAGTTCCAAATTCGCTAATACGAATAGGAGTTGTTAGTGAAAGTGCTGCATAAAGCTTTACTTATTTCAAATCTAAAGCTTTTCATCTCTAGAATTGAGTATTTCATCATCATTCACCATTTAAAAATTGCGTCGCAGTAATTAATGGCAAGATTCTAAATGATAGTTATCGATTGAATAACTTTTGTATAACTTTCACAAAGTAGAGTAATTTATCATCTCAGACAAAATACTACCTATGTGCTAGAAAAAAACATTATCGCATATGAGATGATGTTTACATGTTATAAAGTTGAATATAACACTGCACATATTCCATACTTCAAATCATCAAAAGAGAGAGAAAGAGATATGAAAGAAAAAAGCTAGCATATCAACAGAAAAATGACAGTACGAAAGTGATCGATAGTCTGACAACAAACTTCAAATTGAAACTGACATGTTTGAATAGAAACTTTCTTGTTTCTCTTTTTCCTTCATATATGGTAGCATAAATAATTGATTGCTCGTGAAATTCTAATTTATTAAGTTAGATCGATTCTCTCCTGTATTGTTGTTGAATGGTGAAAACGACAGAGCATCAACTACTGCTGCTGAAAAATACCGCGAACTTCTACTTTCTGAAAGAATCGTGGATTTCTGCATGGCTAATTCTATCTCTTGATGATATGTCTTATTTTGTTTTCATTTTACCTTTTTTTTTGTATTTGTTACCTGACGTGTGTCCACGTGGAAAAGCTGAATGCATATCAACTTGTATCTCAGTTGAAGGGCAAAATATTTTTTTGTGTGATGTACATCATTGTTTGGTTCTTTTTTCTCGTTGTTCGTCATAAAAAAACACTTCTCCCTCCTATGTAAAGCATCGCTGGTATCTTATTTTTTGTTTGTCGTCATACAGATAATATTAGTCATTCATGCATTATCCATGTAAAAAAATGACAAAAAAAATCTGATTTTAATCTGATTTATCGGCATTTCGGCTTATGTAACTAAGTATCAAAAGGGTGTCGTATGTGAATGTGTGTCAAAGATAGGGCTATTACTACACTTGCCATTTGTCGACGTGAGAAGTTAGAAAAAATAACCAAAAATTGGAGTTTCTAAGTTAAAACTTGAGAAGAATGCGTTTTTTAGTCATAGCAATAAAAATCAATTAAAATCAGATTTTTTAGTCGTCTTTTTACATGCTTACATGAACCAAGAGTATGAAACATGCACGATTGTAAGAAAACCATTTACAAACAGGCTTACTACTAAGAGAGTAGGTGATGATGATAACTGTGAAAACTGCAGAGCTGTTAAAATGAGTATCGTTAACAGTCATAAAAAATAAATAAGCTTGTAATCGTTAAAAATAACTTCACAGGTAGGTCTTTACTATGTTTCTTTTGATGATGTGATACATTACATGTTAAGACAAGTTTTAATACTCCAGCGAGATACGATACCTAACCGAATAAGAGCAGCGAATACCAAAAACATAGAAAAAACTTCTTACCTTTACTTCACATTCGTGTTCTATATTTTTCCAGCTCAAACTAAAGTTGAATCTAATATTCTAGCAAAATTGGAACTACAGTAGAAGTGAAACAATCTTCGGTGTTTTCATGGCGAAATTTGTACTCAACACCTCCAGATACAAATTCATGAGCTATCGAACATTGTAATTATCGACAAAAATTTAACTTATTCTTCGAGATGAAAACTTGTATATTACAATTTATATGTTTCGAATTTTGAGCCGATGGTTATGTATCTTTCATGCATTCTCATGAGTAGATCAATGATAAATCTTGGAACACCAATACTTCATTTTTGCTGTACTTGTAAAAAGTTCTCAAATAAAGGAGACAAATGTTTTCTTTGAGAGACTTTAATACACTACATACCGATATATCTCAGACAATAGAGACATGTTCTCACTCTGTAGATTAATATACTCAAATTTTTTTCAAATCTCTTCTTTGAGTTATAAGAATTAAAACTTGTTGGATAACATGACTGTTTTTCAAGGTGATTGGCAATTGATTTTTGCCGTCAAAATTTCTATACGATGGCGAATATGAAACTAAGAATATGCCAATTCCTGATTTTTTGTAGTAAAGATCAGTTATTTGCAATGATTGTTGCATTAGAGAGAGCGATCAAAACTGAGTAGGTCTCACTCGAAGATTTGGTCGAAGTTGATGATTATAAGTACCGCAAATAAGCGATCTTTACTATGAAAAATTGAGAATTGATGCATCCCTAAGTGGAACTCTTGTTCAATGAATAAGGTTGACTAATTCATACTGAATTGATTTTGATTCGACTACAAAATAGCTACTATTACGTGGTATTATTATTTATGACTAATGTGAGTGTCATTTTGCTCGTCCTAATCGCATGCATATTGAGGAGATATGACTTGTGATTATTTGAATCAGATAGAATTAATTGATGACTAATACCGTTGCATGAGTGTTACACATAATCTAAGGATAATATCAAGAGATGACTGATTCCGATCTGGCGTGGCGGCTTTTTATTATAGTTCTATTTGGCTATTGCAAAGTTGGAATGAGATTAAAATTCAGACAGATTGAAATTTTGGAAAAAATCACCATGAAGTTAAAGCCAATTTTTTTAACCATTGCTTGTCCTTACTGCTACCTGTGCTCATAAAACCAGAATATGTCCTCTATAAAAGTCTCAATAAAAGCAATATTCTTATTTGTATCTTTTTTTTTGTCTTTTTTTACGAATTAGATACTGTACGTTTCCGTGCATTGCTCCAAGATCAGAAACTAGAAGAACAGTAATAATCAATGGACGAAACCGTACTAGACTCAAATCAAGATGACGCCCAACAGTCATCCAATGTCGATCCATTAATCTCTTTTCTCGTGCCGAAATCAAAAATGACGCTGGTCGAAAAAGTCGAACGAAACGCTGAGGAGACTCAAGAACAAGGCTGCTGTTTTAAATTTGATAATGCATGCTGTTCATTACTCGGCAAATGGTGGAATGTTCATTATGAATGGCAACGTCGTATACTTCGAGTTATTGAACAGCCAATATTTCATATTGTGATCATTGGACTCGTACTCGTCGATTGTTTATTTGTAATAGCTCAAATAATACTTGATTTTATCAAGTTTAATAAAATGTGTAAATCAGGACGTCTTAATAAAACCGCTGCACACAATGAACATGAAGATCATGGAATTGAATTGACTATCGAAGTTCTTCACTACTCTTCTTTGGCACTGTTGGCGGTGTTTGTTGTCGAAATTTTGGTTAAAGTGTTTGTGTTCGGACGACATTGGTGGAATTATCATGATAAAAAAAGGGAATGGCTTGACGCAATTGTTGTTCTTGCTTCTTTTACTCTCGATATAGTTCTCACGTATAAAAACAGCATGTTTGCCGAAGTATCTTTATTATTCATTTCCCTTCGTTTGTGGCGTTTGGTAAGTAACTATTGTTAGATAACTATGTAATTTATATTCGTTTCTCCTGATTTTAGACTCGAATCATCAATAGTAAGTGCTGCTAACTTGTTTTATTGACTCATCGCTCTCTCTCTCTCTCTCATTCTCTCTTTCCTTAGGTGTAGCCCAGACCATTCGATCAGAAGATGCAGCTAAAAAAAAACAGTTGGCTGCTAGTTATAATAAACTTATCGAATTGCTTTTGATTGTCTCAGAAAAAAAGAGTTTTGCTATCTCTAACCTTGATCGCGAGATGATACCAGAAAGTTACCACAATATTATTGACGAATTCGAAGCGATCGATCAATGCTGTCATACAATTCTTCGGGGTTGTGAACGTACATCATCAGTTAATGCTGTCACTGAGATGGCTCGTCGTTTACAAGATGCCACAGAAAAATTTCAATTAAAACCACAAACAAATAGCCAATTATCTGACTCGAAGATCAATAACTGATACTATTTCCTAGATTAAAGAACTAACATGTGCAAACAATAATTAACTCATTTAACCTTCTCATTTATGTTAGCGAGACATGTCTCTAAAAGTATTGTCTATCTTGTGTTAAGGATATATATAGTAACAAGAGTAAAAAATGCTTAATAACAAAATACAAGATATCTAGGCTTTTTCTGAATTCTTCACTGGTGATATCAGACATGCCAAAAAGCTACGATAAAAAGCGAAAGTTTAAATGTTTTGAATTAAAAACAGGAATGTGACTATGGATCTTTTGTTCACTCGAGCTTATATCCACATTCACATCTACTGTGGAAGTGATACCCACACTCATAACATACATGTGTTATACTCCATTAAATGTTGTTTTTGATATTAGTTTACATGTCATCAAGAGAATATTCTATAGCACAAATCTGACTGATATCGTGCATTGTCAATTTCCTCTAAAATATTCATCTCATAATTAAATTGACCCAATCTGGATATCAGTAGTTGTAGCATGATTCCAAACAAAATCGTTGTTAAAAAAAGTTGCCTAAATTCATTCTTCATTTATTGTTTCATCAATAAATATATCAATCGCTCTATTTTAATACGAAATTCATGTCAATACAATTGGTATTTTTTTATTATTTGTTATTATATTAATATATTTTTCTGTTACATTATGATGAACATAAGAAATTTTTTGAAACAAGATAAAAATAGATTTATATTTATTCAATCATTTGAATATTTAAGTGTGATTCTACGATATTTATTCCATAGATAATATTTCATATAGATGACTGGAAAAGATTGTAAATCGAGACTTTTTCAAATAGTCTTCATGGCTTTTTTTTTTTGTCAATAACAATGACTAATAATAGAGATTCCAAACATTTAACAATGACCGAAATATGATTGTTCAGGAGTTTCATCTTTACAATGCTAATGAAGATATTTTAATGAATACAATCATTAAAAATAGAAAAAAGCTTAAACGATTATTCATAAAACTATAAAAGTAAAAATCTAATTCTACATGATATCAATTCGGATATATACACCTGGAAAAAAATAGCTGCAGTAAGTATTTTGAGTATATCGACACTATAAAAACATATTTTTAAAAGAATAATACTATATTCTGAAAGCCCGCGGACTTTTCTATCACTCTATATATTTATGTTTTAGTTTTCACTTATACATTGCCAAAATAAATTGAGTACAATGAAAGCATTCTCAAGAAATATAATGTCTTTGATATGAATTTATTAAGCAAATATGTATTTCAACAATTAAATTCAAGGTCAAAAATGTTTGATTATTCCACACAAACAATAAATAATGATGATGATAAATTTAATCTTGACGATGTGAGGATGAAGATAATAAAGAGAATAATAATGATAGCATGGATGGCATTCTCATTGATGATGAGCAAGCAAATAGTATTATTGGTGATCAAGAAGACGACGATAATGACAGTATAACGACGATAAAACCCATGGGAAAAATTTCGTTAGTTTTAAATGCTGCGAAACGCATTAATGCTGACCGGTTTAACGCGTTTCACAGCTGCTAAATCGGTTAAAAACGCCGCGAGACGATATACTTTTCGTTTTCATCCGAGAATTATGGCTTCAAAACGCGTTTTGAGTAAGTGGAAAAAAGGGTTGTATACGTTTCTCATCATGGGAAACGCTGCGAATGCGTTAGATCGGTCAGCATTAACGCGTTTCGTAGTGAATATATTCTAATTTTTATCCCATGGGAAGCAAACTTTAATGGTATGAAAATTTGTGAGGAGATTGAACCACGCTAACAAGATGCTCTTTTCAAAGTACAAATTAATGGTGTTAAAAAATCTATACATAAGCTATCGGCTTGTTGGTTATTAACCGAAAGAAATATGCATTTATCAAATGATCGACTCTCTCGGGTTATCCAAACAAGTGGTACAGATAATAAAGATATATTTTAACTTTTTATTCAAATGGAAATTTTCTTTATAAATAAATCTCGAGATATTTTCAAGTACGTTCATATACTTCTATATATTTCATTATAGTTCGATATATTTCTGTGTACTTCTTTGTACTTTTCGGTACTTTTGTGTATTCTTCGTACTTTTCGATACTTTTCTGGACTTCTGAAGTACGAAGTCCTGCTTTTTCCTCCTTGAGCTACTTACGTATTAGATTTTCGAATCTAAGAGATATACATATACTCACTCTCGCCCTAACCCTCAAGACAGCAGCACCTCCATAACTCATCATCGTACATTAAGACAGTCAAAATGCTTCGTGATCTCAAATCAGTTTTAATCTACGCCATTATGTGGTTATTGAATAGAATACACAAGACAGATGGTTGGATAAAAAATCTCTTGATTTGATTGAACTTGGACGTACTAGTTTGATAGCTGTTTGCCATCGTAAATTCATGATGGAATAATAATATCGTTTCTTGCAATATTATTTTTTTCGTTGAATTTTTGTTTTCGTCGTTCAAAGAGAGTTTTTCTCGCAACCTAATATCACTCGTGATCGTATCTTTGCTACGTATTGCACGTTAAACTAGTTTTATTTATCGACATTGACACCAGCATCATCTGTACGTGGATGTCAAATATATTTCATATATTAGCGATTGACTTATCGATCATACTGCGCGTGTTTACTCTTGCATCATCCTGAAATATATACTTTGCATTCACTTTTTTTTTGTCTATCGGTTTTTCTCCTTTTTTCATATGTGTGTACACACATTTCTGGCGATTGGAAGGTCTGTTACAGTTATAGGCATGTTATTTATGTGCTTTCACATCAGTTTAGCTATTCGTGTATAATTTTTCTCTGTTCGTTTTCACTTTTTCTTCTCGTCTCTTTTGTTCTTTTGTTATCTCTCTTACGTGTTTATACATTCATTCGTGTTAAAATGAGTGTAGGGCGGAGTTGAATAAAGGGACCTCTAATAATTACTGTGGGCGATTTCACATGCGTAGATGAAAAGAATATAACGTAAGGTATTTTTATCGATCACAGGTAGTAGATAGATGCAAAGAACATATATAAAATCAATGTTGTCTTCCTAATTATACATCATAACTAATATTTGTCACTCGTCAACGCGATCAGTGTTTATAATTGCATTTGTTGTATTTTCATTCATTATAAAAAATGACTACAAACATCGGTGCAACTCTTGGAATGGCTGCAGGATATAATGAAAACAGTTCTTCTCAATTGGCTATAGTTAATTACATGATACCATATATTCATATGGGTATTGATCATTTAGATATTTCATATTCATCTTCACCCTTAATTATTGCTGATTTTGGTTCATCTCATGGACGAAATTCAATGGAAGCTATGAAAATCATTATTCAATATCTTCAACAAACAAATAAACTCATCACATCACCACTTGTTGTTCATAATGATCTTCCAACAAATGATTGGACAACACTTTTTCAACTTCTTGCCGAAGATAATTCATATCAAGGTATGGCTATTGGTCGTTCATTCTATAAACAATGTCTTCCATCAAATAGTCTTTCAATTGGATTTTCATCTGCATCAATGAATTGGCTATCAAAAGTACCTTGTACTATCACCAATCATCGATTTTATACATTTGCCAACGAGAAAGAACATGAAGCATTCAAACATCAATCAAAACTTGATTTTGATGCATTTATAGAGAATCGTTCTCGAGAACTTGTACCTGGTGGCATTCTTATTCTTAGTATTCCGAGTGCTGATCATCAAGGAACAGTATCTGCTGCTCCTTACTGTGATCATGTTTATACATGTGCAAAATTGTTATTCAATGAACAAGAGCTATCGGACTTAACTATCCCTGTATACTGGCGTTCATTATCTGAATGTGTCGATCATACATTGTTCGATCGATGTTTATTACAATTGATCAAAGCCGAATTATGTCAAATGAATTCGCCGTTTGTTGAACAGCTTCAAAAAGGACAATTAACATTTGATGAATTTATTAAAATGGTGATCAAAACACTACAATGTGTTTTAGAAGGCTCAGTTAGACAAGCATTGGAAATAAATAGACGTTCGAAAGAAGAAATTGACCAATTATTGATAGAATTTTGGTCTCTATATGAAGAAAAACTAAAAGAAATATCGCACTCAATTGTTAATGATAATTCATTTGCATGTGTATGTTTAGTTTTGAAAAAATTGAAAGTAGTTGATAAATAATCTCTTTGAGTTAAATAAATATAATAAAAAACACTGATAACTTTTATACAGGGTGTTCCATAAATAACTTGAGATAAAAAAATCGTGTATCTTTATTTTGGCTCACCCACACCCGAAATTTTTATGTTAGTCATAGAGACTTGTTCAAAGTTTTTTCCATCCAAGTAGGGTCAACAACCTCTATTTTGAAGTAATTATCATGAACTTGAATAAAGATATTTTATCTATTATGAATTAAGAAAAATACATACGAAGCGATCCATAATTAATTTTCAGTTCTAATCGCAGACAGTGACAAAAAACCCAAACCCAAACTTCATTGATAATACGACATTAATGCGAATAGACTAAATTTAGGGAACTAGTTCGTTTCAATGGTCAAATTGATGTTTAAGATTATTAATATACCATTGAAATTGTTCAGGCGTGATTTATCAGCTTTTTTGCAAAAATTAAAGTGTCATGTTTGAAGATGTGAAATATCGTAACGATTGAGTTTTAAATCAATTAATTGCTATTCCACAAAACAAATGCGTGTATTTATTTTTCGAATAACCTTTCATAGAAGGAAGATAACAGAGAGCTACGGTTATTGCTACTGGAGAGAGCAGATAGAGACGCATCAAACTATCTATTAGAGGATATTTTAATCTGATTTTTTCAAGAGTTTAAATCGATCTTTTTGAACACAAACGTACCCTGGAAGGTAACTACGATAAATTTTCAATAATCAGATGTGTAATCGAACCACTAATCGAAGATCTACCAAACTACACAGGGCTCAGACTTTTAGATTTAGTAGTTCAGAAGTAATAGATATTCTACTCATCCGATTATCATATTAGTTCCTGTGAAACAAATCACTTTTTTTTTGCTTTTTTTTCTTATTTTATCAGAGGCCAATTTTTCGGTACTCTTTGAAAATTTAATCATAAAAACTCAAGGGGGAAAAGTAGACTTTTGTACTTCTTTGTACTTCTATACGTTCTTATAACTTTTTTTCGTCTGAGAGATACTAGTGATGATTCATTGCGTAGGTTTCATTCATCATTATGTTTCCTTTGTGATAATGGTTTAACGTCATACTAGAGATGTTTCCTGGCATTTTTTTGCAGTCTTAATGAATGACATCGAATTTTATCAGTTGTTGAATTTGTTTATTCCCTGTTCGAGTATTCATATTTTCACCTATTGATTGTAGATCTTGTGAAATAGGCTGCTGAAGACATTTGTTTTTCACATTGATATCTGTATACTAAGAAAAAAACTTAAAAACATAATAATATTTATTTATATAGTCCTATACTATTTTATTTTAATAAATCAATTTAAAATGAAACTAAAATTGAATTTAATCAAAAACAAAAATAATTTTATTCAAGCGTGGATATCGCAAGAGATATTGAATTGATTTCAATAAGGCGTTGAAATGATAAAAAAAAGTAACCGGTGTCACAAGAGTCTTTTATAAATTGATTGAATACAATACAAGATTTGAATATATCACTGACTAATCAATACCAATAGTGATCTAATTCATACTCCCATCAGCATCGATGCTGGAACAATAGGTAATAGCATAATTCAAACGTTCATACATGATTTCTTTAGTTGAATATGGAGGTAAATCAAGAGTGAAGTAACATGTGTGAGATTCTAGAAGAGAAATCAAATAATTGGATTCACTGTTAAAGTATGATTGAAAAAACGAGATGTCATCTACTGGATTATGACTTTGAATCGCAGCACGATTATATTTCCTTCTTTTTGTATTACCGATAGCAAAGATCAAATGAGATCTTAACTCTTTAGCTTTCTCCTTCTCTTGGTGACTGAAGTAATCGTTTGTAAAGCATGATTTTTTTTGAACAAAATATTCTCTACCGACAGGTAGTAGAAATCTTCAGAGTTTGTTATGCAATATGTATCGATGACAAGATCTACTAGTGATATGTTTCAAAAGTTTCACGATAGCTTGGTGTATTACAGTCAATAAGGCACAACATGAATCATTTAGCCATTAATTTCAATAGACAGAAAGAAATTGAAATCATATTTATCATAGATTAAATCTCTTCAATGGTTAAAGACTTTTGTCGAATGTCTGTCCCCCCTGAACTCAGTAATGAAAATCTATTTTAAAAAAATTGACATTTCTTGTTTTTTCCTAGATGATAAATATTAAATTTTCAAATAGGACTTACTCGGAAGAGCTTCATCAACATTACCAATTGGATCTAGACGAGCTATTGTAAAATTCGTGGAAAATTCTTCGTCTCTATTCGGTAATGTAGTTCGTCCCCAAACAAATATTAAAAATAATTTTTTTTGTTCTTCACTAAACATTTTATTTAAAACATTCCAAAATCGTTCGATATATGGTGATGTTTCATCATCATTACTATAACTTGTATGACGTTTTAACATTTCAATATCAATATAACTTTTACCACAAACAGCTTCTTCTAATTCTTGAGCTGTAAAAAGACTTAAATAAGCCGATGGTACAATACTATATAAACCTTGACGAATAAAATTAATTTGTCGATGAAATTCATTGATACGATATTGACGATAACGTATACAATAATCTTCAAAATTAGTTGCAGTAATCGGAATATGAAAACCACCAGGAATAAGTTCATAAGTTTGTCCAGCTGAACTAACAACATCAAATGTAAGTTCACTCATAATACTATTAAATAAATAATCACAATCATTATTGACATCATCATCATCATCATCATGTTTATTTTGACTAAGATTTTTTATTTGTCTAATATTTTCTTCCATTTGATTGATAATAGTAAAACTTTGTATATCAATTGCTTCAATATCTTCAATTGTAACAATTTCTTGTACTAATTGTTTCCAAAGTAAAATTGGAAATCGAATATCTAGAAAATTTTTCGTACGTATAGCTAAACCCATTAATTGTCCAACAAAACGATATTGATTTTTATATTCATCTGGTATCGATCGATTCGGTGGAAAAATATTTGGAATCCATCGATCACGATTTAAACCACTATTTGTTCGTCCATTAGGACAAAGAATAAATAATGATAAACGTGTACTACATAGTTCAGAACAAATACGTGTAATTGAATCTCGATAAGGTCCACCTCGATCAGTACTAAACATACCAAGAAAAATAGCCGTCCAAGCTTGTTCATCATTTGTTCGTAGAAATATTCGAGATGCATTTGAATATAATTGTTTATATGCTTGATAGAACATTGTATCTTCATAATGTTCACCAAGACTAGCTTTTACAGTATCAAATTTTATATCTTCTTGAGATAATCCTGAACTAATTGCAGTTTTAATTAATACATCATGAAATAATTTATATTTTATTGTAAATAATATATAATTTCGTGCTGTTCGAATTCGATCTGTAAGTGTACTAATACCTGGTAATAAACTTAAATCAATCATTGGTAAAAGTTTTTCAATAAATATATTAAATAAATAGAAAAGTTTAATACGTGTTTGTATATGTACAGATGGTATATCACATAAACAAGTATATGAATTATATTTATTTGAATCAGGAATAGATTCGACTGGTAGATTTTCAATGAATTGATTAAATAATTCATGTGGTAATGGATGCCAATCGAGATTAATATTTGAATTCATAAATTTTATTAATTGTTCATCAGCAATTGTATCGAAATGAACATGTGCCTTGTCAACCATTTCTTTGGTCAATGGAAGTTTTTCACCTAGAATAGTATCCGATTGTGTAAGAAGTAATTCGAACCATTGAGATGATTGTTTTGTTTTATTTGTTAAAATATTAATAACATCGAGAATTATTGATAGATCACGTGCATCTGATGGACATTCATTCAATGTTAAAATCAATTCTTTTTGTCTTCCAAATAGAGCAAATGTTAGATCTATAATAGCATTTCGAAAATTTTTCAATGCAAAATTATCCAAATATGTTTTATTCGTTGTTAATTCAATAAAAAGTTGTAAAATGAAATGTTGAATATTGTTATGAAGTTTGAAATTTTCACTTTTTTGAATCAATCTATTCAAAACAAAAACATAAAATAATTCTCATTTTATTGAAATAGATCAAAATTTCATTGATCAATAACGTAAGCTCTATTTCCGAAATCGCTCAAACAATCTCCAACCAAATTACCATGAGTCAGATATAAGAGTAATCGATCACATTGAATCGAATGGTAACATTTGTTTTTAGTTCTAAAGCTGCTATGCTAACATAGCAGCTTCAAAATTGAAAAGAAACGTTACCATTCGACTCAGGCTGGTCGATTACTTCTGCCCTGACCCATGATAGCTTTTGTTTGATCGACTATGAGAATCTAGAGAAAACGTTAATAACTCCTAAATACAGCAAGCTATTGAGCTCGATCTTGCATAGATCGAAAACGAATAATTTTCTTTATCAAATGGTTATATTACATCGAAAATAGCTTTCAGAATATTGTTTTCGAAATCTCTATCTTATTTTTAATATTTTGACGTTCATAGTAATACAGTGAATAGAATGAATCTATCGATTTTAAATTTATCTAAATGAACTTACGTAGTAAAAAGATGAAGAATGAATATTTTAGATCGATGTGATGGTACTAATAAAAATAGATCAAACAGTATTTTGATAAATAATGGTGGAAATAATAATTGAATGATCAGATCAATATCATATTTTTTCATTTCAATATCAATTAATAATTCCAAAAAGAGATTAACAATTTTTAAAAGAAAATCTAAATTTGATTGTTTAATTAACATTTTTTCATCGATAGTTTTATCATTACCATCATCATCATCATCATCATTATAATTATTCATATTGATTAAAGATGGTTCAGCAAGAAAATGAATTGATTCTTCAATAATATGTTTTTGTAATTGATAGAATAATGGAGCTTTTCTATTTAATATTTCTACAGTAATTTGTTCATGTATTATACATTTCAATAATTCTTTTAATTCAACTTTTAATATTGACATTGTTAATAATTTCATTCTATTAATAGTTTCATCTGCATGTGTACGTGTACATGTATAATGATAATCCATTAATCGTAATAATGTTACAATAAATGTTCCATCACCAAATTTAGTTAATGGAAATAAACTTGGATGATCATCATTACACCAAACTTTTAACATATTTAATATTGTATAACGTGCATAGATCGTTATTAATCCATATTCACAACTCGTACGTAAATGAATATAAGTTTTTCGTGATATTTGTCGATGTAAATAATGTAATGATTTTTTCATTTTATTTTTTAATTGATTATCAATTGTTGTTTCTTCGAAATCTGGTTTAGTTAGATCAACAAGTTTAGAGTGAGAATCTTCAATTATTAATCGATTTGTTTCTATTTTATCTCGAATCCAATCAGTTAATCTTTCATGAATACCTACACAACGAACAGTTTTAAGATACCATTCCTTTTCTGATACTATATCATCATCATCATTTTCTATTTCAGATAACATATCATTAGACAATGTCAATATTGACAAATTATTTGTAGAATTGTCAATTTTCATGAACATTGCTAATGTACCTTTGTCATCATAGGAATTCAATCGTGTTAAAACATTGAGTTTTTTATGTTGTTGTTCTTTTTGTTGTGCTTTTTCTATTTCTTGACATTGTTCTCGTAGAATAGTATCGATGAAATGAATATTTGTTGTATTGTATTGTTTAATTACATATTTAATTGATTCTTCTTTATAACCAATACCTATGAGACTTGTTGATAGAATTGAATATGTTGGAGCAACTAGATTATCTAATGGATATTCAGTTGATTTGATTAATTTCATTATCGATGGACGAAGAATATCGATTGATTTATTCCAAAATGTTATTGATTGACATTCAATTCGTAGTTGATCATCATTGATAGTATTTTTAGTTGGATCTATTTCTCGAAATAGATCAATATGTTTCGATTTCGTTGCAAATTGATCATCTGTAATTGATACATTGAGTTCTAATGAACCATTGATATAAATATTAACATATTTCTGTTGAACAGATATAAGCAAACGAATATATTCTTGTAATTTTACTATTGATGAACTTTGATATTTTCCGGATAGACAAATATGACCACTATGTGTTATATAAATTTCTGATTGTGTATCCAATGTTAATAATGTTAATTGAGTTTCACTATTCGATGGAAAATTAGGTATAGAAATATCGAGAATTAATGTATATTCAGACCATATTTGATTTGCAGTACTTAAAACTAGATAAGTTTTATTTCCAAATAATTGTACGGCCGATCGATTAGTTCCTGATATTGTTTTGAAATAGATCGATTCATCATGATCAATGTATTGTTTTCTTTTCTTCCATAGATTATCTTCAAATGATTCATTGAATGGAATTAGAATTTCATTTATAAAATATTTTTGTTCTGCCATAAATACTAATGTATTTGTTTGTTTTTGATATTCATTCAATTTTTGATAATCAACAGCAACATATAAGAGACTATAAGTGAAGAGACGTCGAATATGTTCTTCGGACAATACATATTTCCATACGCCTAAATTTTGAATTCCAACATTTAGATATGGTAAAATTTGTAGATTTAATTTTGGTTTTGTTATTAGATCAAAATTATGATAATAATTTAATGTTTGATATTTATTGTTGATATAGACTTTTGTTTGTTCATTTGTTTGAAATAGGATAGCAACACGTTGTCGATATTTTATTGTTTCATCAATAAAATCATTATTCATATCATTCAAATATATTCGAATAGAAAACATCTCGTTTTCTATTGCAAATAATACAATATCGAGTTCATCAGGACGATTTTCTATATCATCAATTGGAATAATATCAAAATCGAAACTAATAGTCAATGATTGATAATTATCAACCGATAATGGAAAACCTTTACTATCTTTCGATAATCTTAATAAATGATGATCAATTGTTATCATATTAATATCGAATGGAACTTCGAAATGATGATCATTGACAAAATCACGTAACAAACAGGTTTTCTTGTCGATTGACTCGTTCTTTAAACATCGACTTGTATAGAAATATTGATGAATATCATTACCAATGAGATAGGCACTATACGGATAAGCTACTAATACATTTTCTATTGTTAATAATTTTGGCATTAATAACGGTTTGTAATCTTTCGGTAAAGGACATTGAGTCATATCTTCTGGACTAAATATGAATTCAAAAGCACCTGTATTAGCCAGACTATTATAGACTTGTACAGTAACACCAGGAAAATAAGTAGTACCAATTCCATGAGGTAATAAATTTGTTTTAATCGTTGATTCAACAATATCAGTACTTTCCGAATGTAAAAATGCCGTACCTAAAAATTGACCATTTAACCAATATTTGATAGTCGTATTTTCTCCATTGATTTCAATACCACAACCACATACGTCTTCTGGTTTCCAACGAATTTCATCACAAAAATTAGTTCCTTGATTATGATAACAAATTCCTCGTGATCCATCGTAGCCCCATGAAAATGCATCATCACCAATACCTTTTGAACATTCGGGCACAGGAGTAAATCCATTTGTTGCCCAGCCAATTTGTGCTGCACCACCTAGTATAATTTTAACACAAAAATACCATTTTCCTTCACTCAATTGTATATTATCAACAACAAAAGTCGGATATCGAATATTTCCATTATCATCAGTTATATTAACGCGTCCTTTGAATTTATGTTTATCGCCACATTCTTCTAATGGTGGTAGAGTATCATTGGCAGGTAGAGAAATAATACGAATATCATCAGTTCCAATTCGGCCCTGTTTATAGAATTCTATTTCATATTTAAATGCAATCGATTTCCATTCATCGTCTATTGAACTCATTGTAGATAGACTTTGTAGAATAATAGGATTACGATTGATTTTTATTTGATTCCATCCGTTTATATTATGAATGATATTAGATTCATCTTCTACTATTTGTTTTGTTCGTTCACATTTATCTAAACTTAAATTATATTGTTCTAGATGTAATCGATTAAATAATCGTAAATCATTTGGTTTTGTACTATGAATTGAATCAAGATTGTCAATCGATATTGATAATTTAGCAATAACAGATGCATAAGGTTTTTCCATGAAAATATTGACAATTGTTTTATTATTTAGTAATGGATAGAATGCTGTTATAGCATGACGTTTTATTTGTAATAACATTAATGAGTCAATTTTCGATGTATCAATTTGTGCAAGATAGCCTAATGTATCAAGAATAATATGAACTGCATTATCTATTGGTAAAAGTAAAAGATTTGGTGGTAGAACATCAGTAATAATACGTAATTGATTCGATGAAACCCATTCGGTATGATTTGTTGCAGCATATTGTACGAGATAAGGTGTAACATCAGATAGATCCGATTCGAGAGCATTTTTATCGATTTCAATAATAGTTGCTGATTCTAATTCATGAATACTTTTATTAGCTACATAGATTTCTACAGTTGAACCTAAACAATATGGTCGAATATAACCACCTAAGATACATAATGATGCAAGAAAGAAATTTATTTGTCGTATTTCAATAGATTCTAATGATGTAATATTGAAATTTGTACTTGATTTAATTGCATCAATAATTAATTTCGATGCTATTTTTTGCCATGGTGAATTTTGTGATATTATCCTACGATAGATATAGATAAATTCAATGATAATATCGAGATTTATTTTCTTTGTTTCAAATAAATTAAAATTTTGACCAATAGAAAATAAAATATCTGTCAAGAAATTTTCAACAAAACATCGACATGTTGTTTCATTCATATTCTCTGGTAAGAATACTAATAGATCACGTAGAATTTTCAATGTTAGTAGACGAGTACTAAGAAATTGACTTTGATAATATAAATTTAATAATTGTTGAATATAATCCATTGTAGCACAATTTGATCGAACATGATCATATAAATGAATACAACGAAGTAGAAGCATTAAATATTGATTAATACAAATATCATTATTCAATCTTACTGTTGTAATAAAATAACCGATGGAAACATTTTTCAATGATGGATTTTCATCTTCTTTATCGGATGTTGATATTGATTGGTTTTGTTGTAAATATTTTAGTTCACTTAAAATTAATTTATTAAATATAAAATCACATTGTTGTTGTAAGATATGATGAAATTTTCGACTACCAAAATGTGTACTTCGTAATTCTTCTAATTCAATATTTTCACATAATTTCAATACAATTAAACGAAACCAATTGTATGCTGTGAGTTTCATATCTATTGAAATGACAGCAGTCGAATCTCTTTTAACAAAACTAACAAATGAAGTAAATAATTCTTCAATAAATTGAAAATGATTCAAATGACACAAATCCATTGAATCATAGGATAAATTCATCAGATTAAATAAACGAAACATGAGCACTGTTTTCATATTAGATTCAAATATTGATTCATTGAAAAATGATAATACTTTTTTAACTATGGAATAATATTGATATCCAATATCTTCTTTCAATTGATTATTTGATGCTTGAATATTTTCAAGATAATGCCAATCTAAATTATTATCTTTTAAATTTATTAAATTTATAATTAAAATATTTAAAATTCGATTATTATCTTTAATATTAATTAATTGTTCAATAAATTGATAAATAAATCGATATGTAATTAATCTAGTTATAGCTCGTTGATATTGTCGAATTAAACATTTAACAACTTCATCAGATACAATTTTAAATTCATTATTTATTATAGATGTTGATAAATCATTTCCATATAAACAATTAACAATAGCACGATGCATAATACTTTCACTATCTTTTTTTTGTTCGACAGCTTGTTTTTTTGTTAACATTAAATATTTTAATCTTATACAAACATTTAATACATTACGAAGTAAACGAATAATATATTTTGCTTTTGTCCAATGTGATATTTGTCGTTGAACTTTAAATTTATTAATATTTATTATTGGTAATGAAAAATCTTCTTTAATTGTTGAAATAAAAGAACTTTCTTTAATTGATACAAGTAATAATAATGTATCATTTTTAATTTGTTTATAAAGTTCATTACAATCACCACCTCGAGCTTTAGTTGTAGCAAATATTGTTCGTACTTGATTAGCATATTCATAGAGTGAAAGAAGTTTTGTATGTGGTTTTTGATCAATTGATTGTGTTAATTCATGTTGAGCTAAATCAATACGACGATAATGTTTAATATAAACTGCAAATATTGCAGCACATGCATCATTAGCATAAGATTCAATTGATTTTTGTAAAATACGTTGTTTATCTCGAATAAATAATTTCATTTTTAATATTAATTGTGCACCTTGATCAATATTATTATAAATTGAAAGTAAAAATTCATTATCTAATACGGATTGTTGTCGTCTATAGGGTAATATAAATTGACTATAAATTGTTAAATTAGATTTAAATAAATTTAATAAGTATGAATTATTTTCTGTTGTCATTGTTTCATATCCACCAGAAAATAATGGTAATTTTAATGTAGTACTATATTTTTTTTCTAAAGGACTATATGGTGGACCAATAATTAATCGATAATTCATTTTTCCAAATAACCATGGAATTAGATAAGTATTTATAATATCTAGATCGATTGTTGTTTGTATTAAATATTCAGCAAATATAGGTAGAATAGCAGTAAATATTGGTTGTATAATAGCAAAATTAAATTTTGATTCCGTAAGAGTACAGAGACCGAAGAGAAGTGGTTCTAATAAAATACTTTTAATTCTTTGTTTGATATAATATGTAATCACACGTGTAGTATAATCAACACTAAGAATTGATAGAGAAGATGATTCAAGTTCATCTGATATATCGATAGATTGATTATTCAAGTAAACTAAAAGTAATTCTTGAAACATAAGTATAATTTCTTGTAATTGATCGATTTTTTTAATATCTATTGAATTTGATTGTAAGACAATATCAAGAAATGAATGTAAAATTGTATATGCTAATATTTTATCTTCAGGATGACGATCATCACATAGAACTTCGATCCATTTATGTACAAATACATTTTTATTGAATTTATTAAATAATTGTTCAATTAATATTGGATATTTATTTTCTATGATATATGTATGAATGAATGCTAATGTTTTAGCAAATGATAATGTTTGTTTATCAATCAAATAGATCAAAGCTTTTGATGCTTCTTTTTTTCTTTCTTCTGATTTATCATCTAAAGCTAATTTTAATATCAATGTATACCATTTTTCAATATCATTTTCATTTAAAAAATCATGAAAATTATCAATATTTGAAGCTAATAAAAATTTTAAATGTGTTGTAAATAATCTTAGACAGATGATTAAGATATATTCGAGATTATGATTCGATGATGATTGTATGATAATCAATTGTTCGATTATTTCATATAAATATTTGAATGTTTCCGGTTCAAACTCAAATGAAAATGAACCATCGATAGAGCCACGTTCAAATTGTAATTTCGCATGAAGTTGATTATGTAGATCGATATGAACAAGTAATATTGAAGATATAAATTGACCAGTGAATTTCTTTTCATTTAATGATATTAATTGTGTACTTGGAAATACTTCCATTGATTTAAGATATTCTAATACAGTCGAAAAGGTATGTTCCATATCGGATATTTTTTCGGTAGATAATCTCATTTCTACAAGAAATCGAATTCAGAACAACTAAATAGAAAAATTATTGAAGTGTTGCTTCAAAAGGATGAAGCATCATTTTTCAATAGATAAAGCTAATAATTGTACGGTCGTGTGAAGTGAGCCAAACATGCTAACCAGAAAATTGTGGTTCACTTCATATAGGGAAAATGGATCAATCAAAATGCGAGCCGTTACTTTACCGTCATCTAATCGTTTTCCCAAAACAGAACAATAATACTCACAACACAGAACAAACGTACTCATCTACCCGGAAGTGTTATTCCCATAACGGAACAAAGGTACTCAGTACCCGGAAATTCTATTCCCAAAACAGAACAATGATACTTACAACCGGGAAGTACTATTTCCAAAACAGAACAAAGGTACTCACTACCCGGAAGTGTCATTCCCATAACAGAACAAAAGTACTCACTACCCGGAAGTGCTTTTGTTCTGTTATGGGAATGACACTTCTGGGTAGTGAGTACTTTTGTTCTGTTTTGGGAATAGCACTTCTGAGTTGTGAGTAGTATTGTTCTGTTGTGGGAAAGATACTTCCGGTGCTAGAGTACTATATATTTACAGTGGGTATAGTATGGACTAATGGACTTCACTTTGGCTCACTTCATACGACCTAATTGTACATGAATCTCTCTTACCTGTTTTGTTTTGTTCTTTAGATGCTTCATTGCTATCTTCTGCAACATTCTGTGGTATAATTGTTGTTGTTTCAATTAGTGTCTGTTTTTCTTTTTCGAATTGATCCATTATTGTTGTTAGATCTTTATTTAATACTATGAATAATTTTCGTATGTCATAAATATCAGTTGTATTGAAAATTAATTTTCTAATTAATGGTAGAATATCTTTCAATGATGATTTAATAACTGAAAAATTCAATAAAATTTTAATCGATTGATTTGCTGCAATAGGATCAATTTCTGTTTGTATTGATAATTCATTGATATAATTGGTCAATGGTTTTAAAGATTTAAATAAATTACTTGATCTTTTATAAATAGCTGATGAAAGATAATGTAATGGAATTTGTTCAACAAGTTGATTTGTTAAATCGAGTATTTGATGAACAATAATAGAATCATATTTTTGTACCGACTTAAGTAATAACAGTAGCATGGATATTAATGATTGGATAGCAAAAAATGAGAGTTGTTCAGCTTGAAATTGATATAATTGTGTTTGTTTAACTGAATTGTTATCTATTTGATGTTCATTTGATACATTCTCTGAATTAGAAGTATCAATAAATAATTGAGCAAATATAGACGTCGTTGCATTTTCATCTTCCTTCAATTTTTCAGCATAGGAATTTTTTAATTGTTGTTGTTTATCAATGATTGATTGTATATCATTTTGTAGATTTGTATTCGTTCTTGCAATACGATCGAATACTTGTTGAATTAATCTTGCAATTTCCATATTCAATTCATCTATTCCAGATGAATTCGTTAGTAAAGATAGATCAGTTCGAATATGTTTGATTAATGTTTGTTTTGTAATTGGTAGTTCAATTGAATTTTTTTGATCATGATCATGAGATGAGATTGAACTTTTACTGATTGCATTGATGACATCCAATGGTAAAAATAAATGAATATCTTCTATTCGACCATTGGATAATATCTTATCGAAATGTTGATTATTTATTGCAAGTAAATCAGGAGTTTTAAAATTAGTCAAAGACAATTGTTGACCCATGTTTAGATAAATGATGACTAATTAATCAAATATGTTAGTGAAATGCTTGTACAGTGTTTCCAACAATAGTTCTAGAATATAAAAATAAATTATATTCTATATTATTACCTTGCATTTAGTTCTTAGCTTACAAGGAAACCATCCGACGTGATGCCTCGCGCAGAATCTATTAAGACTGAAAAAAAGCTTATAGCTTTCGAACGAAAAGTCATAGTGACCTGCGATTTTCAGCAATCGATAGAAGATTATAGGGGGCACATTTTTATATAAAAATCAAGGTTTAAATAATCGGTGATTGTGGAATCACTGAAAGAGTAGGCTCGTTATTTGGTGAAATCTGAGCAGAACAAGCTGAAACTTTCAGCATATATAGTCCCACTGTACCCCAATCTTCGCTGAAAATATCATCGATAAATCTTGTAATGACAAGGAATGGTGAGCCAATCATCGTCTGGTCTTACATAAGGCACTCAGTCAATCAAAATATTAGGAAATGGCCTCAACTTTTGGCTGAATAAATATCATAATCTGGACTTCATATCTATGCAATAGCATCGCACTTTGATCGTAAAAATGTACGGAAATAGCCAAAATTCGACGAAGAAATGATTTTCATACAGTAAGTATTTTAAAACAAATCTTTCCAACTTTCTTAAGAGAAATGCAGGATTTAGTAATATTTCCACCGTCTCTTCTCGTTCATTTAATCAAACTATGATATAATTACATAGATATGAAGTCTAGATTATGGTATTTATTCAGCCAAAAGTTGAGGCCATTTCCTAATATTTTGAGTGAATAAAAGTCTTATGTAAGACCAGATGATGATTGACTCACCATTCCTCGTCATTACAAGATTTATCGATGATATTTTCAGCGAAGATTGGGGTACAGTGGGGCTATATATGCTGAAAGTTTCAGCTTGTTCTGCTGAGATTTCACCAAATAATTAGCCTATTCTTTCAGTGATTGCATAATCACCGATTATTTAAACCTTGATTTTTATATAAAAATGTGTCCTCTATAATCTTCTATCGATTGCTGAAAATCGCAGGTCGCTATGACTTTTCGTTCGAAAGTTATTAGCGTTTTTTCCAGGTCCCTTCTTTTAAAATTCCGATAGTAGAAAGATTCATTCGCATGCACTGCCTTTTCGAAGTTACAACCGTTACATTGACTTTTCTTTTTACTTTTAACAATATCTTCTAAAAATTTTAGCTCAGAAAAGTGGTCTAGACCACTTTTATTGGCCGAAACTTTTAGAAGTTGTTGCTAAAAGCAAAAGTCTAGTGTAACGGTCATAACTTCGAAAGGACAGCGCCTGGGGAAGAATCCCTCTAGGTTACACTTCTAGTCTCAATAGATCCTTCGTAATGACTGGGATCTCATCTCAAACTCGATATACCACCTCAGATGGTCCCCTTGCTAACATAGCAATTATAATCTGATAATGACGTGAATATACCGATTAGCTGAACGAATCTCATTTCGAATTCAAATAATTACTAACAATAGCAAGATTTTATTAATTAGAGATACCCCACCGCCTTTTCAGGTTTTCTAAAGAACGGTTAATAAGAAAAATTTTGAATTATTAGGACAGGCAGATCTTGACAAGTAGAACGAAAGTTGTCATAGACTCAAGGTTTCCAGGTGCTGTCGTCTATTAGGCACTGAGATCATAATGGTCATACGTTCCACTATTTTGATTTTTTTAACGTTTGAAGACAATTTTTGGATCTCAAAATGTACTCATTAGATATATATTACTTCGGACTATATCATTGCCACAAGAAAAACAAAAAATTTCGAGTCATGAATAAAGGGATGGTATCTTCAACAGCAATCACTTTAATGTCATATAAACAAAGAAGTTTGATTACTACTCAGAAGACAACGACCGATGAAACTGAAACTTTTCTCTCGTGTACTTCAGACGATTATTAATGACTCTATTTGTGCTCTTTCCTAATTATGGCATTGTTGCACTTTAGCAGACTCGACAAAATCTAGCCCTAACAAGGATTTTAGTGATACTGTTCGTGTTTTATCTTTCTTTCCTCCACAATCAACTCAAAAAACACTAAGCAGAAGAAAAAAAACAGTCCCTCCAATTTGCTTCTAGTATTGCAGAAAAATTAAAGTAAGAAATATAAGTTGAGTCATTTTGATTACGTGCATCACATATATCTTGAGAATAAAAAATTGGGTAGTTCAAAGTTCAGGTTAAAATTTAGTCGACCTAAACGTAACGGAGTTTTTCCTGTAATCATGCTGAAGAAATCCCAGAAAGCGAGGATCGTGTCCTTCAAAGTACTGACGTTCTGGACTATCTATAGAAATTTTACTGAATAAATGTAGAAAATGATAAACCAACCATGAGCAACAAATCGATCCAATTTTAAAAGTCAAATTTACAGTATTACAGATCGAATAAAACACGAAGTTACGAACTTAATTTTGTCAGCTTCAAGGACACCTTCGAAAAGAAAAACATAAGCACGGTGGTATTTTTCTATAGATCCAGTCAAGCGACACCTTACTTTTTCTTGATCATATTCACAATGAAATCAAAACTATTCCTAATATACAGGTGGGGTATATTTTTTTCGTTCGACAGAACTAAAAGGCAGAACGAAAGTAAACAACTACTACTCATTGGTATACCTAGACTAACCAGTCGATTGTAAAGTCACGTGGTTTACAAAACCATGTGTAATTCAAGGAAACCATCATTTAGTAGAAGAAAAGCAAACAACAACAATACTTCTATAGAATAAAATATTCAATAATCTTTATTTAGCCTGCTCCGAAAAAAAAAATATGAAGAAAATGAGTAATCTACGTATCAGATGTTCTCGTTGATGAAAAGAATCAAATATAAGAGGCCTCTGAGATATCGAATTCTCTTTTTTTCCCTCACTAATAATTAAACAGAGTATCATAGAATCAAATTCATTTTGTTTTGAATACTATAGGTTATTATCTATCAGATTCAATAAAAGAAATAACTTACATCAAACTTATGATACATATTGTTGAGCAACTATTCCAAATAATTACCATCCAACTAATTTCTACGGTATGTTTTCATTGTAAAACTACTTATACAACGAACCTCTTTCGAAAACAGCTACTCATTAATTTCAAAATAGAAATGCATAGTTAATATCGGTTTAATATATCATCTATTTTTAATCTTCATCTGAGGAGTAGATACATAATCTATATCCTACTGAGAGATTAATTCTAATAAAGAAAAGAAAAAAGCCATTATTGTCGTTTACTGCTGAAGAATACAACTGAATTCGATTTTGCTGTTTTTTTTTTCAACACAAACGCCAACGCCTTGACATGCAATGGTACCAGTGTCTAGTAATCTTATTTCTCAAGTGTTCTTTCGCAACATTGACAACGCATGAATTGATTATGCCTCATTATGCTCGTTTTCTGTTGTCTTTCCTAATCAACATTATCACGTTCGAAGTTTGCTTCATGAAAAAAAAAGGCCTAAGCAGACTATTTGTTTAATTTCTATGCATGAAAAATAGTTATTGAGCAAATTTTACAAAAAGAACTATTAGAATAAATAAACATTTGCTTTTTTTTGTTTATCATCTTCATCAAATACATTATAATTGTATGATAATACGAAGCAAAAGAAGAAAACGTACTTTTCTCTTTTTTCCATAGTGTGACTCATCTACACAAACTGTCACAAGGACCAAAAATGCCTGTAAGCACATAAGAAAGAAATAAAAATGGTTGTTTGTTTTGCTTACAATCGTGGTTCTTAATTATGAGAGAAAAACGACCGATTTTTTTTTGTGTATTTATAACGCATTGTCGGCAGTTTGTGACTATCTGGACACTTAGTGAAAAAAACAGAACAAGTACGAGCATTCTTAATGTAGGTTGATTTCTCTTTTGTAATCAGTTTTATCGAGAAATCTCTCGACATCAAATGGTGAAAAAAGAATGAATTCAACATTACATTCGAGAAATATTTTTTCTAGAAGTAATCTATTTTTCCTTGCAAAACAATGTTGTGTCAACGTGATATTGATAATTTAGACGAGTATGATATTAATCAAACTTCTAAAAGTCTGTCTTACATTAGAAAATCTGAAATTAGAAACAGGTGAAACTATATCAAATCTTGCTTCATTTTAATAATCGATAATTCTACAATATATATGATAAATATTACTATTACCCTAACCAGCCCAAATTGACAGAAAATGAGATGTATATAATGATGTTTGCAAATGTAATTAAGAAGCGATAGAAGATTTATTTTTTGTTTATATCATTCTTTGATTCTTCATCCGTTGTTTCCACGACAAATCAATAAGAAAAGTCGAAGAAAAATTATTCTTTTTTTTTGCTGTTCTCATCTGCTTGTTTCTTCGATATGTGTATTGGATGACTTGGATTAGCCAGTACCATTTACTAGATTAGGAAAAGGAAATAGTGGGCGCTGTATGTGCTCAAAATTGTCTATGAAAGTGAATGATAGAAAAAACTGTTTCAAAATCGCTTTACCACTATTTCACATTCCAGTACACTTTGATAGACCTCTTACAAATGTCTTATCACTCATTCTATCGTATATTTTCATTCGTAGCATCGTGGCTATATTACAGTCGTAGAGAACTGACAGTTGTTCAGGATTCTGGTTGAAACATTTGACGTAAAACGAGTCTAACAATCAGAATATTAGTGCATTGCTTCTTCTTCCAAAAAATGTCGTTCTGATTAAACATTTCTTCAGAAGACAAAATCTTTCGAACAATATAATCGTTGAAAATCATTTGAGTCGATAAATTCTATCGGAAAGATCCTAGTGCTATGTTCTTATCTGACCTACATGTGTTGATTTTAGAGTGTGAAGTGCGAGTAAGAGTTTTACTCTCACACTTCCATTCAGAAACATCAATAGAATTTTGTTGTCATTTGAACCAGCTCTTCAAGTTCTATAATTATCTATACATTTAGTTATTTCAATAAACATTTTCAAGTACATTCATGTTATTATATTGCACATCAAAGCTATGCGTTTTCTCTGATTTTTAACTAAAATGTGTTCTCAAATTTGCAATCATTCTTTGGTTTCAAAGATAACTCTGCATCGTATAAGCCGAATACAAATGGCCAAGTAGCAAGAAAAAAAAGTCGAGAGAAAATCATTACGCTGCCACGATTCGATTCCTCTATAAATCACTGTATCGATTAGACGTTGGAGAATATGCATATACTCGATGAGATCGAGTAACTTTTCTCGTTTTCTCAATCCGATGAGCGCAGCATCTCAATGTACAAAACTATTTCATCTCTATCTGCATGTCTTACAATAGGCAAATCGAATGACTTGATACATAGTAATATCTAATCTATCTCGTCATCTGCAAATTAATTATCGTTTTATTTGCGTATGTAAGCAAAACGGATTCTTCACACAGAAAGTACCAATTGATATTTATGCAATTTGTTTTGGTTGAATAGGTTTCTTCGTATTTTCTCCGCGGCGAATTCGATGGAGTCGACGACTGAAGCAAGGTAACCAAAACATGAATTTTAGCAATAACGTCAGAAGCGGGAAGTATAAACAGAGTAAACCAAGATTATAGAATGCTTTAGCTACTCCCACTGCTATCCAACGAGGTAAAGCCATTGCAACAACATGTCCAATAGCCAGTAACAATGTGACAATACCGAGTTTTGATTGTATAAAACGCCATTCTCGCCAATTCAACAGATTACCAACTGCAGGAATACTTGTAACAGCTAAAATGGTCATGCATAGCTGAGTTAAAATGCCTAGCAGTGATGCCAATTCACCTTTTGCAGTCATGAGACCACTCTCGACGACAAATCGTGTCTGATTTTGAATGGTCGAAATTATAATTTCAACATGATGAAACCATGTTGAATAATAAGCTGGTGTCATTAGAATAAGTGTCATAATAGAGTGAGAAAGAGCTATAGCAAATGTCAATATACCGAATTGTTTTCGTCTTAACAGCCATCGATCCAACCATATTGGAAATTGTAGTTCTCGCGTTCCATAGGCCAATTGAAATATACATGCAAGGTTCGAAGGCATGTAGACAATAGCTAGCATAGTGATAGCACTTGTACATAAAGTTTTATTAGCTATATTTAAAAAGAGTTGATTCCATGAAGTTGTATGTGTACTAACATATTCCATGCAGAGTGTATAAATAAGCCAGATGGATAAAACGACAAGTGTAACAATAATTGGAATTTGCCATTCAGGAAATAGAGATTGAGTATCATTTTCTAGATGACGTGCTGCTCGAAGGGAACCAACATCGAACGAACCAAAATTCATTTCACGTGCGAGTGTTATTATTTTATCTTTGGCTGTTGAATGATCGCTAGCAACAAAGATATTACGTGATTCACCTGCTGTCGTACTTTCCATCGCAAACGATGAGATATTATTAAATGCTTTAACAACGAAAGCATTTGGTATTGCTGTCTGAAGTTGTTCGGCATTGGAAGAATCATTTAGATTCAATTTTTTGCAAGTTTGATTTGATAGATCAATCAGAATTTTCTCATTAAATAATAATGGTTCATGTTCAATATGCGATACAAGAGAATCGATATAATGTTCTGGATGAATTGCAATAAAGATAATAGGTGAACGACGAATGCATTCGACAATCGAGACTATTTCATATTGTGTGCCATTTCGCTTGTCTGGATAACGACTACCCATTACTACAGTAAATCCACATAAGAATAAACGGTCGGCAAGGGCAAAACCCATATTTCCACAACCAACAATACCGATGCATTGATTACGATGCATTATTGTCAATCAAGTGAGATTTATTATTCTTTCTTTCATACAAGTAGACCTATTTTGTAATCGAATATATATATATATATATTTGCTTCGAAACTGGAGAACAGAAAGAGAAAAATGTCGAAAGTGAAAGTGTGTGATATGAGTGATGTGGAACGTGCAATAAGAAACTGTTTTATGACATGAAAAAAAATCAATATAAATCAAAGCGATATTATAACCTTCACTGTTGATCATCGTTCTTTCTTACTTCTAAGCTACGAAGAATAATGATGATATGACCGGATCGATTCGAATTCAAATAATATAAATAAATCTCACTACTCTCTTTTCAATTAAGGCGGAAGTTCTCCATCGAATCCTGTTGGATCCGCTTTGAATCATTCAATTTCCATCGGTTCGGCCTTTGCTGAAATCTGATGAATTCGTGTATTTTCCAATGATTTCTAATAGCCGACCGTCACAATCTCGTCAGATCGGATCCCCAACATACGTTCATTACTGTTACATGGAAGACCAACTTCGATGATCATGAGTATTCACACTTTATGTCTACAATTCCATGCTATTGAGCAAAGTTAGTTTTCTTGTTCAATAATGTCTTTGTCTATGCAAAACCCATAGTTCTTCACCGAATCTGCTCATGAAATCTTGTTGATTGCTCGATTTCGATTCGACAATTCCGACAAGAAAAAGGACCACATACTTCAACTTCAATAGAAGTTTTCACAAGTGAGATGAAGAACATCATACCCAACACGGGTCATCGCAATCTCGTGGATGATGTCTGATATCCGTCATCGGATATACAAATCCTTAGTTCAAAAGTGCATCATTGAGTTCTGTCGGAATTCAGTTTATTCTCTATATTCAATTATAATTATTTTCTCAGATTGCAAAACACAAACTGTCTGAGCCAATTAAGTCATTTGAAAAGTTTATTCTGTGTAAAAATGAATTGAACTATGTGTTTTCTCTGTGAAAAACAGTTATCAAAACAAGAAATGAGAATCATCAGAAATCTAAAGTATATTTATTATGTATTTTATTTCATTGAAATCGGGTCACTTTTGATGATCAATCGACAATTTTGTAAAAAATTTGAATAGTGTAAGTATTGCTTTATAAAAATAAACGTTTCTTTTCTTTTATTTAGGTCATTTGCATATCTCAATGAAATGTAAATGTTGATTTCGAATAATAAATATTTTTCTTCTTTTATTGAGGTCATTTGCACATTTCAATGAAAGATAAGTGTTAATTTGTAATAATAAATATTTTTCTTCTTTTATCGAAGTCATTTACACATCTCAATGAAAGACAAGTGATAATTTGTCAAATATTTTTCTTCTTCTATTTAGATCTCTCTACATAAAAAAAATGATCGGCATTATTTTATTTAGAGAAATTGTATAATTTACTGTGTATGGGAGGAAAGAGATCTCGCATTTAATAGAGTTATAAATTGCTATAAAATGACCGATTTTTGCGTGATTTTGATGACAATGGTGGTAATATCTTTGTACTGCATTTTAATAACTATATCGAAGTTTATCTGGTTTTCTGTGCTCAAGAAAGGAATAATAAGAGTAGATCGTAGATTTTTACCGTTGGTGTCATAAATATAATGCCATATTATGGATAAAGAAATAATAAAGAATGGGAAAGAGGACAAGTATAGAATGCTGATTTAAATCCGACCCGATCCTGTCGGATTTAATAAGATCCTTTCCCGATTAAATGTTCATCGAATTTTCTGGTTACTAGATTATGGACTCGATTTGATAGATTTCGATCGAATGAAATCGAAAATCGACTCAGAAGGATAGTATTGATTGTTATGCAGACATACATAGTTAAATCACTGTTTAAATTGTTACGCGCTGACTGCAACTTCATCCAAATAGAGTCAAACGGTTATTTTCTTATTGGACTAGCAATAATCTGTATTTCGTCCAGAAAAAAAAGCCAGTTCAATCAAATATCTATTATTGCAGAAGAATACGCTCTAAAATGACGGAGCTAATTGCCACCCATGATATGGACGGATGAGTACGCCATAATAAATCATTAACTGTTCAGTCCTCCATTTTGCCACACTTTCATCGACGTTCTAGTCTAATTTCTTTCCTTGTGTACACATTATAACAATAAGGAGGCTCATTGGATGCTATTTCTTGTAGTATTTTGAATGTATGAGTTTCATCTATAGAAAATAGTACTTCGTTCTCTTCGGGAAATCGACTCAAATAGGCAATATCTACTACGATTATATCAGACGAATTCAAATCGAAATGTATTTCGAGTAGCAATGTTAATGATTTAGCACTTTATAGAAGTGCAACATCGGTAAAATCTAATGCAACCTGCCTATTTTGATTTGTCGACAGAAAGCCTTTCACTACAATGGCGTGACCAACACATTGACGTAGTGTTTCTTTAGATTTACTTTTGACTGTCTGAGACCTCCATACAAGATAGTCATTTCTATTCCGAATAGATTTGTTTGCTACTGTTGTTGCTTCAATTCATATATTTGTTCACTTATATCAACGATGTATAGTCATAGCAGAGAACACTGCTCAATGTTTCCTAAGCACAATGCCTTATTAATGATTCAATGGGGGAATGCATCTTCGGTGTAGGGTGTGGATGTGAATCTTCTCGTCGCCCGTACCCACATCCGATTAAACTCCATCTTGACAATCCCTAGCCAATAGAAAACAATGCTCTTACCCGCGTCTATTCAACCTGGCTTTGAGAAGTGTTGAAACGTATCATCAACGGTTGTCAAAATAAAGTTTGATATAACTGATTTTTCGATTGCATGAAATTTGTAGATGGGAGTGTTAGTTTTGGATATAGGTGAGTCTTCTCTTCACACGCACACATTTACACCTTTTTTCCAGACAAAAAGCACATTCAACAAAAGTTAGTAACATACTCAACATTAAAGTAATTATATACATTTGACTACATGTCGGAAGCAGATGTATTGTGGAAACATCGTCTTCGACAATGAGATCAGAAACTATACTTTTATTCTATATGTGATGCCGACTTGATATCCCAACAATATCAAAGAGGTTGAAGAATGATGGACTTTATAAAATCCCTATCTATATCACTGTCGTTATATTGAAAGGCAACTTGTACATGGATTGAACATGAACCAATAATAGAGATGATAAGAGCAAATAGGAGAAATAGAATTTTTCACTCCTACTCTGATTGTGAATTGAAAGATCTATTTTCTGAGTCAATTTTAATAATTTATTGGTGCTAATAAAGACGCACACCGAATAGGTTACAATCATTCAGAAAACGTGCTATATGGTTTTTTTTATTGTTGTAACGACATTGCTTGGTTGATAGACCTTAGGGTTTTACTGACGTCAATATTACTTGATAGAAAAAAAAATTGGAAATTGATGATTATTATTATTCCATTTAAAAATATGAATATGTGCACTACAAAAAGAAGAAATATGACGAATATCTACACGTACATGTAGATAGATCAATCAAAGACAATAGTAGAAGAAGACAATTATAAAGAGTAGATGCCTAATTCGAGTTCAAAAATAAGTCAGATTTGAAAAAATTTGACCGGCATCACTTAAGCCAAAAGGAAAACCAAAGCCAAAATTTTTATCTCAATTATAATTATATATTTCGAATTGATATAGGAACTTTACTGTAAAGAGTAGCGACCTTTTTGAACTACGAATATATATGAAGTTTTTTGAAAACTATAAACAATCTCTACAAGGGAAAACGTAAAATATAAAGTTAAACCAATTTCCATTTGTAGTTTCAGTCGTAAGGGTATTTTATTCATTTATTTTCGAAGTGGTTTTATGCTCTAAAACCTTCATTTGTATTCAAACTCAAATTAGGTAACTCATGGTTTCTTGTTGTGTTTCGTGAACGGATATCTGATCTTTTTCTTCATACATTCTTTTTTGTCAACTTAATCACTATGACCATGACTTTCTTGCAGTACTACTGTCAGTTTAGTTTCCTCTTCGCAAACTCCATGATATGACAATCTCTTTTATGATTTCTTCAATCAACTTTGATCGTATCTATCAATAGATTGTGAGTGTTGATACTGACATAAATGAAATGAAACTGAGAGTATCTCTAAATGCATTCTTTACGTATTTCTAAACATGAGAAGAAAATGATTCTAGCAGAGATTTTAGCAAACAGTTTGGTAGAATAAATTAATCAATCATTGAATTGTTCCGACATGCTTGTGGATATTAGTTACATGTCGAAATGAATTTATTTCCAACAAGATTTGTGAACATGAAGCACATGTTGGAGATGATTTACGGATATATGTTAAGCAAAAAATTCGATTCTAATCAGTGCAATATACTTCTATTTGTTCGATTAATAAATATTAAAAAAATAAATAAAGAAAAACAGCTTCATCTATTGGGAAATATCATACACAATGTCTCGTTTTTTTTTCAAGCAAGCATAATCATTACTCGTTTATACCAGACTTTATGTTGAATTATTCGGTTTTATCGTTTCTTGGTACTTTTAACCGTCAATTGTTCTGCTCGGTTAATACATCTATGAATAGCACTTTGAACAGTATGTATACGAGAATAATTTCGATTTTTCATTTTAAAACCATGCTTAAGACCAGCTTTATAATGATTGAGTGCCATAAAATTCTTACTCATAGATTCATAGCTAGTTCCGATATGAGTATAGATTTCGAAAAGTAATGCATGATTTAGTTGCGAACGGTTCTTTTCAATTTCTAAAGCTTTTCGAAAATATTTGACTGCCATAGAATGATTTTTCATTGATTTATAAGCACATGCCATACTTTGAAATATTTGTACAAAAGTTGGATGATCGTTTGGCAATGCTGTGATACCAATTTCAATTGCTTTTTCATAATATTCTATAGCTAACGAATACTTTTGTTCGCCAAAATAAACGGCACCAATGTTATTATATGTTTTTAATAGATCTGAATGATCGGTAGCATACGATGCAAGATTAATATTGAGTGCTATATGATATGCTTTTAATGCTCTTTTATAGTAACCTTGAAGAAAATAAACATATCCAATATAATTATAAGATTGTCCAATATGTGGATGAGTAGCTGGTAATTGTTTTAAACGAATATCTAAAGCTTTTTCAAGATTAATTAAAGACTGTGAAAATAAACGCATATCCGCATATACACATCCGATATTTGCATGACTTGTGGCTATATCAGCAAGATCTGTTGGCTTCGGATTGTTAATTTCAAGTCGCATTTGTAATACTTCTCTATAATATTTCAATGCTGTTTCATATTTTTTCTTACGAGCATAAATCAATCCAATATTGTTCAATATTGTACCTATGTGAGCAATATTTGGCGATTGATTTTTCCTTGCATATTTAAATGATTTCTCAAAGTAATCCAATGCTTTGTTATAGTAATCACGATCATAATACAAAAGTCCGGTATCATTATAGATAGCAGAAACTTCATTATGATTGAACGAACGTAATTCTTTAAATAGAATAGCAAAGATATGTTCAGCTTTATCATATTTACCTACTTTCCACAGAAAATAACCCACCAATGTTAATGGTGATGCATGATCATTTTCACGTTTTAATATTTCTTTAAGTTGATTTATTTCTTTCGGTTGTTTTTCATCTATCAATCTTAATTTAACATGCCATACTGTATCATGTTGTTCAATAGATTCATTTTGAAAAATAGTACCCGGCGAGAAGAGAATTTCATTTTGATCATTATCTTCACTAATAGCAGCAAATGGCTTATTTGATTTTGCAACTGATCGATTTACGATTATTTCGAAAACAATTGATTCAACAAATGGATTTCGTTCACCATTTTTAGCATGTGTAACAGCTGTTTGAAAATTTGTTGTTGTTAAAAAATAAGTATTTATCGAGATTAATTTACCAATATTGATTTTGATTTTATTTAATTCTTCACTACTAATACCTTGTCCACGATAAAAAGTCCATTGGTTTTGTTCATTTGGTAATTGATCAATATAATTTAAATGAAGTTTTTCTAATTGATAATGTATATCAGCTAGAAAACATCTGAATTTAAATAGTGTAACAATATCTTCTGAACGAAATGCTTTATTTAGTAAACGATAGATAAAACAATCACGTTTATACCATACTATAACATCAGTTGCTGTGTAATATTGACGAAAATCTTCAATTGATTTTTGTTCTAATTCATTATCGATATAGTCGAGTTCACATTTACTTAATAAATACTTTTTCATTAAATTAGATTGAGGCGTACGAATAATTGTTTCAATTAATAATGGAAACCAATTAACAGATGAACTGTTCAGATTGAAATTATTCATCGATTTTTCTGGTGTTAAGACACTTGTTGAACATAAATTATGAGACGATACTTGATAATCTTCTTTCAACTTTGTCATCAATGAATTATTATCCATAAAAATACCACTAACTTTTGCATAAATTTGAATAGATGATTCACAAGTCATACGACGATGACAATATATGTAGATATGTTCAAGTTGAGAATGATCATGAACACGAGGAATAACAATTTTTGACACTGTATCCGAAATGATCAAAAATATTTTTTCTGATGTAACAGAAAGTACATATTTGATACATTGTTCAATATTATGAAACAATTTCAAGTAATTGATAATGCAACGTAATTGACATTGAATTTCATTGTGATCTCTTTTTTCATCAAGCCAAACAAGTGAAAAATTTTCATAATTAGGATCATAATCTGTAAACGATATTTTTTTCAATCCACGTCTTGTTTTCTTCGTAGTAATGTGCGTCGATGATGACGATGCGCAAGCGCTCATAGGTCTTGTCGTGTGTACGTTTTTCTTTGTAAATCCGAGTTTGTATAAGTGTTCTCATCAGAAAACAAACGACTGAATGAATGTGTTGTTGTAAATTGAATAACAAAAAAAAAAAATTAAAAAAGCGTTTTATCGCTATTAACACAGTGCCGAAACTCTCGTAAATTAAAAAAATAAAGAAAAGAAAAAGGAAAAAAAAACCGAAAGCAATCGATGCCTGGACTGGATCTCGAAAACTAGGAGTGTGCGAAAGAACAACTATTTATTTATTCACTGCTGATCATTTGTATCATTCTATTATCAACGAAAATATAGACGAGTCTTCATTACCTTTTGATAAGAGTCCCAACGTGTAGCTCGATCTCCAATTTTTGAAAGCTTTCAATTTCTCCTTCATAACATGATTTTGCTTTTATGTCTTGCACAGAACAGCGACTGATTTTTTTTCTTCAAACTTCAACAATACTCCCTTTTGATTTTCGTAGCAGCTCTATGACGAATGTTTACTTGCCATTGGCAATGAGCCATGAACAAGTATGCATGCATAACAATCGGGCTAATCATCAATCATTAACACAAACCGAAAAGATTAATGATTGATAATAATCACTGAGTCCATTGATAACATTGACAAACAAGAATATGTACATCAAATGTTCATAACTATTTCAAACTCACTTTTAATGTGAAAAACATCACTAGTTTATGAAATGACAAGAGGATGAATTCTTTTCTCCTCTTCTCTTCATAAGACATGTTGACAAAGCATATAGATTCATACAATAATTTACCAGCAACATGTTGTTTAAATATCATTGATTTCAATTTTATTTTCTATCATTATACTTGTATATTAGTGAACACGGGTTTCTCGTCGTAGATGCTAAATGATGAATTATATTTCTGGAACCAATTTGAAAAAGAAAGCATACATGTCAAACTTGAAATTTCGTCTAAAAGCATTACCTATTCTGCTGATATTTATTAAGAAAGAATTCTAATAGGAACAACATTCACTTAGGTATTTAACATCGCATAATTTTAAATTTTATAAAACACTTAATATCAAAGGTTTTATTACATGAATACGCAGTAAAATGTCTCGTCTATAATAATGCATATAACAATTCTATCTTGGATTTGATTCTAGCATTCTTTTAGATAAAGTCTATAATACTTAAGGCTAAGCGAAAGCTCTAATAACATCAAATAAAAATATAAAAAAGATATATTTCTAGTTTTATTTTATTACATGCTTAAAATAGTCACCATTATTATTTATAAGGTGCCGGCAATACGAATTTCGAGTAAAAAATCTTTTTTTGCCATTTTTTTACATCATTTGATAGAACGAGAGCTGCTGATCACGAAAATCTACTTTTTAGCCTTAGCAAATGCTTCCTTCTGGTTGAAAAATACGAAATACTTGAGAGGTGTCGTTTTTCGAGAAAAATGCATCCTTTGCAAAAATGTGCAAAATTTTCTATTTCGTTCTTATTTTTTGTTTCTGAAAATATTTTTTTCAGATTCAGCATCAAAAACTGAGTAGAAATAAGTTGTTAAATCGACTCTAGAACCAAAACTCTATTGGTGGGGGAGCTTCGAATTGCGTCGAGTCCACCCTGTATACATCGATTTTGTAAACCTATCTAGTTTTTCTATGTAAGAGATAGAGGCAAATGTTTTGTCTCATTCTATTTATCATACCACCCTTCAACACGCCTAGTATCGGTTTTTTTTCTTTCC